AAAATACTTCACATTACAAACCGTGTAAAAATAACATAAAATGTTAATACCACATCCTGGCTACACTAAATACCAGAATAATTGCTTATGATACTCTCAAACTTGCCAAAATTACAATGTACTTCATTTAATTGACATCCTTTACTGTTTCTTGTTAAACCTTTACAAGTGATATTATATAACAACTGTTAATGATAGTTTGGAAACGAGCAGTAAATTACTTCCTGAAAATACACTGCCATGTAAAGAGCCAATTTCCATATTCTTCCATACTGCTTCTTATTTCTTGGTGAGCTGCCTACTCAATAGTGGGCTTCTTTGATATTTTGGTGGAATATACAGCATCCAGGTAGCACCATGCCATCTCCCCCACAAGAGATCGATCTGGGATGCTTTGAGCCATTCCATACAATGCTGCCTGTTAAAAAAAAATGCATGCGAGGGCATTATCTATGAAATCCATTTAATTCTGTGCTACATGATCTCTATCTTTTATTGTTCCTATTAGCGTAAGGCAATCTATACTTCTAAGAATATGATTTTCACATCCTTTCCTCTTTTGGTGCATTAAAAGCATCCATAAAATATAACACAATTACTTACACTTCCACCAGAATCTTTTGGTGGGTTTGCAAGGAGCTCTGCAGACAATTCGTTTATGTCTTTGATGAAACGCTCAGCAACACCTGGATGGGTATGCAGGACTGTCACTGCAATGTGGATGCTGGAAAAAATGATGATAAAAACATCACATAACACATTCTGATGACATTACACTTTGGCTTCTAATATCATGAAAAGGAAAGAAAGTCATGGCTGTGATAAGGGAAAACAATGCTTTATAAAAAAAACTCACCTAGCAGGGTACTGCAAAGCATTTAAATTCCAGCCTCTCTTGCCCATTCTATCCGAGAGCTGATAGATGTTATAGTCATTGGACCCTAAGGCAACAACTGATACTTCTGGCTTGCCATACACAAAGACTCCTTTGATGTTGCGACACCTTGATATGGGATAAGCAAAATGTGAATGAAGAGACCAACATCATAAAGTCAAGGTAGTCTAAATGAGCTGGATCATTTTGTGTTGCTCCTAACAACTCCTTTTTTGTCCATAATGAAAATTTATTTGATATCTAATACATTCAAGAAATCTAAATCCATATTCTTTATATCACTAACTGTTTTACAGTAATAAAATTCTAACCCTTCTTCTATCTTTCTAGTAGTTTGGATGATACTCCTTGTATAATCAACATAACCTTGTTTGCCGTGGTACACCAAAGCAGCCCAACAAGCTGACACTATGCCTGCAAAAGAAAATGGATAATAAGCATCAACAGATGTCCTTTTCTAATGTTATTACACCATCTCCAGTAACATCAATGAGCATAAGATTTTCACTGAAGTGCATATGCAAAAATATGTTAGAAAAACTTAAAAATAGTAGACACCTAAAAGTCTCTGATTTTCAATATGTCTGATGCTTTATATGAACATGTAATTTCTTAATTGCTTTCATTATATATATCCAAATCATTATCTAAAACCTAAAAGATAACTAAACACTGCCTCTCATTTTATCCTTAAATGATCTGATTAAATAAACTGAAATCAAAATAGCTTTCAAGTCAATTGCTATCAAAGAGCATCCAATCCTTACCACCAGATCTTGAGCCACCAATTGTCGGGGTGGCATAAATACCGCCTGGCCAGTCAGGGGTAACAAAGAACTGATGGTGTCGCCACTTAGGTTCATTGTACATGATAACTGAAGACCCTTTTGGTGCATAACCATACTAAAATGTGAAAAAGATTAGATGGATGAGGTTCATATCAAACTAGCAAAAATATAAGAAATTTTGACTCAAATGAATAGCTTGGAAAATCTTATAATATCTAAGAATAAAAACTGAAGAAAGAAATTATTACATAACATTTAATCTCCTAAACTTTTAACAATAGTTATCATTTTTTGAGTACTGACAAAAATAATAAAAAATAAAAGAAGCAACAAAAAAAATAATTTTAATGACAGATAAAATGATGATAAAGATATATATAACAGTATCAGAAAGTTAGAAAACATTTTGTAAATTAATTTACCTTATGGGTATCAGCAGATATACTAGTAACTCCTTGAACACGGAAATCAAATGGCGCAAGAGGAAATCCTGCATCATCCATGAACGGAATGAGAAAACCTCCAAGACATGCATCTACATGGACAGGGATATCATACTGAAGGCCCAAACCACCTATTTCAATGATGGGATCCATGACACCATGTGGGAATTGTGGGGCTGAGCCTGCAAGCTGTAAAAAAAAAAAATAACAGGAGTATTGAAATGTATCCAAAATTACATATCTATCTAATAAAGACAGACATCCAGTCTTGGCATAAAGCATTTAAAAAATTGATACATATTACTTATAAAATTAAAAAGAAAAAAAAAAAAAAAAAAAAAAAAGGAAAATAATGTGACAAAATAATTCAAGGTGAAGCTGTATTTTCTTATATTCATTCAAGGAAAATTTAAATGATTTTTGCTATAAGTGTAAATGTTACTAAAAGACCAAACAAAAATATTTTGTAGACCTGCCTCAAGCCACTATACTACATTTCATGATCTGGTTCCTACTCTTACCATGCATGTGTTGCGGTTGATCATCTTTCTCATGGCTGCAATATCAACTTTCATTGTTTCACTGTCAAGAGGAACATGCCTGATTCGCATCCCTAACAACTGTGCACCTGTGATAGAAAAGCAGGATGTAAGTTTTTTTTATATGAGAGTGTGTATAAATGTGAAAATATAGCATATTCTGTTTCATTTTCTTTAATTTCCACATACATCGGCTTAAAGCAAACATCCTATCATAAATACACATTAATTTCTCTCAAAACAAAGAAACTAACAATACCAAATAATAGTTTACTATAACATTTGCTTCAATAAATAATACCTTTATCAAAGGCAGCATGAGCAGACACTGGAACTAGCATCTCAGGTTTCTTGATGCCCTTTACATTGATAGCATAGTCACGATAGGCTTTGCATGCCATAATAATGCTTTCAGTACCTCCAGTCGTCATCTTTACCACAAAAAAATTATAAAATATCAGTAGAAATTAGAACACAAAAACATTCCACTGCACTTTGTATTTTCTAAACTGTTCATAATATGATATCTTGATATTTATATTTAAGGTTTACAATAGTACCAATGCTAACTGAGATTGCCAAGTAAAAGACGAACTGACAAACATCTATTCATATGACTTTAGCAAGATCACATAACATTGTGAATTAAAGTAATGGTTTGAGCTAAACTCTAATTATAAAAAAACATGGATTTAAGTTCCAAGAGAAATGGAGTATGGATATGCCACCACCATAAACAACCTGCAACTAGTTGTAAAAATAACTGACTTACAACTCCACAACTAGATGCATCTCCATGGAACATTGTGCAGCACATTCTCACCACCTCTGCCTCCATTTTTCTCACACCCGGGAAGACATCAGGATGAAGAGGATTAGACCAGGCTGACATACCTGTTGAAGGTGATTTCACCTAAAAACTGATTAACTAATGATCTCCCTATCTAGGTAACCTACATTCTATAGCAAGAGACACCTTTTTTCATATGAGATACTATACAAAGTCCAATAAATGTTATTTATAATTTTCATGTCCAGAATTTTTCATATGAAGATACTCTTGGCTGATTCTTATTAATTCCCTCCATATTTATATCTTTTATAGTCTAAACTAACTGACAGGGGTGCCATAGCCTTTTTAAAATATCCTGACACACTTGATGATAGCAATATGACATGGAACGCATATTAAATAATCAGTTTCATCCATTTTGTCATAAATATATCAGATTTTCACTGATGTCCCATTCATGATTCATAAAGGAGATTTCAAAACCTAGCAGGTGGCTTGGCTAATGTTTGTCATCCACCACATATTACTTTTTTCCCTTAGCTCTAAATATCACTTCCCCATATTTTTGTATGTCTAAGCTAGGGTATAGCTGCTCACTACAAATTTCTATATAGCATTACTGCAAACTTATACTCATAAAACTGTAACAATAAATGAATATCAAAATCAACTTGAATAGCTCATGGAAGGCATTTAGTAAACACTTAATGATCTTTTGTTTGGCACACTCCTGTCCTATAGAAAACAGAAGTTGTGATTTTGAATGGCAGTCTCAATCAAAGCAGTTCTATATATTTCATGCAAAATACATCCCACATAAACTAAATGTTGCTTTGAGAAACATACATTCAAGGAGCAAAATAACTTATATAATTCAGACACAGCTTCTAACATTATATTCTTGGCAAGTGGCTACTCCATTCTGACACAATTTGATGCATTTTAACACAATTTTTGGATAATTGTATTCTAACACATTTTGACATATTGCGACAACACTGAAATAGCCCTCCTCCCACACTATGAACAGATACCCAACTAATGATTTGCAAACCAAGTTACCCTACATTTTAATCAAATAGAAGTTATTTCTCATATATGGTTTTCCATTATTATGCAAAGGCTTTATCTCTTAGTTTTTTGAGAGAGAACAGAATGATGCTTACCATAAACCTTTGTCATAAGTTCTGTTAGTGTTTTGTTGCCATTGTACACTGTTCCAGAAGCAAAGCCAGCCTCCCAGCTAAAAGTACCTGTTATAATATAAAAATATATATGAAATACATATAGTAATCTACCACATTTTTTCTATCATAAAAAAAGTTTTCAACCTTAAAATCAACAAAGATTCCAAAATCTTTAAATAGTACTCAGGATGATCATGGAAAGGAGATGAAGAGACAAAAAGAGGAG